TACTGTCGCCATCACAGTCACTCCTCAGTTCTATTGCTCTTCACCTCGCTAGAACCCCCACCTCTTCCAACCTAGCTAGTTAGCTGCTGCTAGTTAGCTTTGTTTGTTGGAAGGTTCTTAAAGTTAGCTTAACTGCTTTTGTTGGTGTCGGTTTTCCCCAGTGGAGATTATACTGCCTGTACTGGAGAGGGTGCGCAGACAGGGTCTGTCTCTGATTCTGGTGGTGCCCCATTGGCCAGCGAAATCTTGGTACGCCAAGGCTGCTCAGCCCTGGTAACTTCCTCTTCGCCTAGATCTCCTCTCTCAGGCAAGGGGGGAGATATTTCACCCACACCCAGAGTTGTGGAGGCTGCACACCTACCTGCTGAAAGGTCCTGCTTGCTAGCCAGRGGCCTTCCCCCGGCAGTGGTGGCAACTATCCAGAACGCGAGAGCGCCCTCCACTAGAGGTTTATATACCTACAAGTGGCACACTTCCGAGCAGTGGTGTGAGGTCAGGCACATTGTCCCGTTCCAGTGCTCCATGGTGGACGTTTTAACATTCCTTCAGGAGCTGTTGGATAAAGGTCTGGCTTTTTCCACAATCAAGTCTACTTGGCAGCTATTTCTGCTTGCCATGTGGGTTTTGATGGAGTTACGCCAGGTGCTCATCCTCTAGCAGTGCGTTTTCTGAAGGGGGTCCGTAGGCTGCGGCCTGTTATTTAACCCAGTATCCCTACCTGGGATCTTACTGTGGTGCTCGAGGCTCTCTATGACCCCCACTTTAAGCCCCTGGAGTCTGTGGATTTGAAGTCCCTTTCATATAAGGTTGTGTTGCTTCTTGCACCAACAACTGTTAAACGGGTCGGGGATCTCCATGCTCTGACTGTGAATCCCTCCTGTATTCAGTTTTCACCTGATGGCTCCAAGATGGTTCTGCATCCAAACTCAGCGTATCTCCCTAAGGTGATATCTTCTAACTACAGCTCCATGTCCATTGAGCTTTCTAGTTTTTATCCTCCCCTTTTGCATCTGAGGAACAGAGGAGGTTACATTCTYTGTGTCCTCTACGTGCACTGCGTATTTACATTGATCGCACACAGGATGTGAGGTCATGTGATCAGCWGTTTGTGTGTGTTGCTAACCCACTCAGGGGCAGRGCTCTGTCCAGACAGAGACTCTCCCACTGGATTGTGGAGGCTATCTCGTTAGCTTACAGCAGCAGGGGTCTCCCAGTCCCATCTGGTTTGAGAGCTCACTCCACCAGGGGTGTAGCAGCATCCTGGGCCCTATTTAAATGGATACCTGTGAGTGACATCTGTGCTGCGGCCAGCTGGTCTTCACCGCACACATTTGTTSAGTTTTATCGCTTRGATGTGACAGCCCCCTCGGTGGCTCACACTGTGCTCTCCGCTGGGTCTGATGTGCTGCACTAGCATGTTAWTATGACCCAAGTTTGGTGCTGCTCTGCGGGGCGTTTATATATGTCCCATACATGATGTGTTGTACCGAGTGTATTGACTGAAAGGGAACGTAATGTTATGTATATAACTACTGTTCCCTGAAGGAAAGGAACGAGGTACAACACATGGTGGCACCGCTGCACAGCAGGGCTTGGTGAAGAGCAGTTACCGAACTAAGGAGTGACGGTGATGGCGACAGTATATATATGTGTAGGCGGAGCCTGACATCTGTCGTCATCACGTCACCTGCCTAAAGGCGTGATTAGAGGTGGCTTCAGCCAGGACATGCAGGGGCGTGGTTTCCCATACATGATGTGTTGTACCTTGTTCCTTTCCTTCAGGGAACAAGTAGTTATATGCATAACATTACGTTTTTGCTCCTTTTTTAATTAGCAATGTTTATGTCTGTAAATGTCTATAAAGTCTGTAAATTAATCATTAGAATCCTAAACATGCATCTCCACATTGCCCACAATGTCTTTGAGTTGCTGCATTGTGGACCACAATAATATAAAAACATACTTTGCAAATGCTTGGCAAGTAGGCAAATACACACTGTTTTCTCTGTTCTGACCTCAGCAGACAAACTAACTAAAGCTTATAAAAAGAAGGGAAAACTAAAATGTGTTGACTTCGAATATTAGTGCTGTTTTACAAATTGTCCTGGTTATATCTTTCTCCAGGTGTGTGATGAGCCTCCGTCACTCTGTACTCCCATGAAAGAGCCCTTCTCTCCTCTGAGCAATGTTGTCTCCACCGAGCCATTCCGGGGTTGCTATGTGCGCACCCAGCCCTTTGATGACACCCGTCGCTACCTGCCTCCACAGGTGTGCACTTCTTACTGCTTCTAAAATCAGTTTTATTTGTACTAAATACATAAATAATTGTTTTGTTTTGTTTTTACATTGCTACTTTTTAAATTTGTCCTCTTTGCTGGTTTTCTTGAAGTCGACACGTCGGGTCAGTTTCCGTGTTGATGAAGAGGAGATCGTTCGCATCAACCCACGTAAAGACGTGTTCATCCGAGGCTACGAGGACTACCGCCATCCGGTCATGAGCAGACTCGATGCCGACCGTGAGGACTTGGACTTCCCCACCCACTTCAACAAACTGGACAGTAAGAAGTTTGAGTACCTCTTCCCAGACGGCCCCGGTGGCGACTCTCACTCTGGCCCCGGGATGGGCATTGGGACAGGTATGGGGCTGGGGCTGGGCAAGGACACGGCCATTAAGACTCAGCCGTCGCCCCTTCTGAAGTCCAAGAAGGGCCGCCGGCGACGAGAGGACGGTGAGCGCTCGCGCTGCATTTACTGTCGCGAGATGTTCAACCACGAGGACAACTGGCGGGGGCAGTGCCAGGATGCCCCCGACCCGATCAAGCAGTGCATCTACAAAGTCAGCTGCATGCTTTGCGCCGAGAGCATGCTGTACCACTGTATGTCCGACTCAGAGGGGGACTACTCGGACCCCTGCTCGTGCGACACGTCGGACGAGCAGTTCTGCCTGCGCTGGCTGGCCCTGATGGCGCTCTCCTTCATCGCGCCCTGCATGTGCTGCTACCTGCCCCTGCGCGCCTGCCACCACTGCGGCGAGGCCTGCCACTGCTGCGGGGGCAAGCACAAGGCCGCGGGATGACCCGACGCCGGACACCGGGACACCCTCAAAGCTAGCTAGCAAAGGCAGCGGATAAAAGCGGAAAATTATTAGCCGGCATCCTTTTTTCATTCCTCTCTCTCAGAAGGGGGTGACGTGCTGTTGATCCTCAGCTCTGAGGGCTTTTGGAGATTTCAGTTTGTGTTTGTCGCCGACAAGCAGCAGTGGAGAACAAACAATGTGCTTTTTGGGAGCTCTGAGCATCAAGTTAAATGCAGGAGCTTTATCTGAGGTGACAAGGAGGACAAGACATCAAGATTAACAGACTTGGAGATGTTACTCACACCTGTACTCACACATATACACACCTCTCACATCCACTCATATGTTGGCAAAGCCAGGCCACAATGTGTAACTTTATGAAGGAAAAAATATATATTTTGTACAGATAGCAACAACTAAATGACAACAAAGAAAACAAAGTTACAACTGTATTGAGGACAAAAAGTACTTGCTAAAAGGGATGTGTTTTTGCTTTTTATTTTGTGAATTTGCAGTTGGGTAACAGTGGCCTTTCCTTCATGGCTTAAGCGTTTGCTGACAATGTAATTACTCACCAGAGAAAAATGTATTCCCCCAATTAAAGATAACGATTTTGAGAATCWTGTGGCATGTTGTCCCACGCGTTTAGTGCAATTAAAAATTTTGGGAGATGTTCCTGTTGGATGCAAAGCCAAATTTCTTTGTTTATAAAAACAAAAGGTGTTAAGTGGTTCCAGTTACTTTTTGAGGTACAGCTCAGCATAATCTTTATATTTAAAACTTACGTTTTTATTTAAAAAATAAAAAAGCTCTTCAGGGGTGATTTAGACGTTTTGATCCAATTTTTAATGCAACGTATTCCATGAGGGGAAGGRAACGTTTGGTTACATCGTCACAATAAATTCTCCCAAGTCCTTATTTTCTTTCTCTAAATCAGAAAAGTCACATATAAAAACATCTTGACCCATTTATTTGATTGAAACCAACCCACTGCAGTTTCATTTACTTCAGTGAAATGTTATAGATCACTTATTTACTGCTGTAAGGAAATTGGTGTTTTGTTTAATCAGATTTTAATTTTTTTTTGCTTGTAATTAGTTTTGAATCAAAGGTTGAAATGTTGCTCAACCAGCAAGTTTTGTTTTGGTGGGGGAAATAAAAGGGGTCACAGTGCTCCTTTTGTTAAATATTAAGGCACTTAAATTAGATGTTTTTTTAATTGAGAAACCTTCAGATTTCAAAACTAGTCTGTAGATAAATCAAACTAATTTACCACCTAATTGGGACTGGGGGGAAACCCGACAATTAAAGCACTGTTCTCCAAGCTTTGGTTGCAGCACCCTCTCCATTTTTTTTTCTGTTCATGCATTGTTTACTGTTCATTCTGCATAAATGTAGTATTACATTGTTTTTCAAAAGTGTGGCCACTCCTCTTATCTTGTTTTGATTTATCAGCCCTGGAATGAATGCATTGTGTAGGAAACCTGAGATGTGTCTTAGTTTTGAAAACTGTTTTGTTTGTGCTTGCATATGTCTTCATATGCGCGGTTGGCTTTGTGTTGAACTTCACCACGGACAGACCGGTTAGGGTTTAGAGTCCCCCAGCGTAAAGCGCGTGGATTTGAAGTAAACGGATAAATGAAAGTCAATGGAACTGACACCATCCTCCTTTTTCTGTGAAAGCTAAAGCAGCTTTTTTAGTGTCCCACTACCAGATTGGATAATTCTCAATTCTTTTTAAAAATAAAATAAAATATCTATTTTTTTTTATAAAAGCAGCAATTGAGGGGCAATACAGCTTATGTTTTGGTTGTGACACCTTGTCAAAAATCCTCCCCCACATCACATCTGGTGAAACCACTACTCGTCACTTTTACACATGATTGAACATGCATAAAATAAAGTGTCGGTTTGCAAGCTCTGGGGCTGCTTTAAGGTGGTGTTTGTTACCTTTGGGTAACTGCCTCCACACTTAATGCTACGGTCTCAACATTAGAGTACACTCAAAGCATTAACCAAGCAGGAAAGAAACAAGCAATTTTCCCTTCTTTTCAGGTTAGACACATTGATTTATTTCAAACTAACTGCATCACTAATAGCAGATTTATCATCCCAATCCAGTTGGTGTCACTTTAAAATGAATACTTCACCCACTACCCCAGTTCAACGCTGACCAAGGCGCCCTTTACTTTCTATGCAAACTCTCTAAACACGTTGTCCCTTTCTTTTGACTGAGTCGGTGATGGGACAGGACACTTTAATGCTACAGACTTAGCCGACCAACCCATGGTACCAAACTAAACGCCTGTAAATATGTAACACTATATTTAAGTACCTAATAATAATAATAATAATAATAATCCCAGCTTTTTCTCTTTAAGATTTTAAAGATAGAGCTGTATTTATCGTTGCTGTCAGCCTATACTGTAGCTTCTAAATGACAGCATTTTGTACATAGGTCACCTTTTAGTATTATTTCACATTGAAAAGTAGAGGGCTTTGTGACGGATATAACTATTGAGCTTCTAATAGAGTCTCTGTCTAGTTTTGTACGGTAGAAGGAAGGATAATGCTAACATGGTACAGTAGTGGCAGTCCATTTGTAAAGTTTGATATGTTTAACT